GGCCGTTTGCTGACTGATGCTGACCTTANGGTGACTCGTGTGCGTCCGCACCTTCGGTATCTTGACGGAAACAGGGGGAGTGAGTGCTGGAGGGTGGGCATGAGGAAGACGCCCCTCGATAGAAGTGTCCGCGGGTCCCGGAGCTAATGCAGCTAGAAGTTGCATTGGTTAAGTCACTCCGGAGCTTCGGTGCGCGGAGATAAATCGCGGAATGGGTCCGAGTACGCCTCGAGGATGTTGGGAAGTCCGGAGCTAAATAGAAAAAGTCTTTTAGAGCCCATAGAAGCCTAGAGGCGTGCGAGCGCTGTGTCGAATAAGCTCCGGGGTGCTTGTATGATGTGCTGAATCCGCGTTTTCGGGGGTCAGACGATCCTGAGGCTTATCACCTCCCCCTGACTGAGATACTGACTGTCCTCAGTCTCCGCATTGCGACCTGCAGATAAAGAGGAGTCCTTCCACCCTCGGAGCTCATCATCCTCAGCCATGTCCTCTCAAACTAGCCCGTCATTCACTGCTGTCGACCTGACCAACGTCTTCAAGGGGTTGGCGGCTCGCTACACCAGCGGTGAGTCAGTGGAAGGCCTCGTCGTCGAGGCAGAGCTATATATGGTAGGACCGGACTTAAATGAAACTAATGGCGGGGCTAATGGTGTCTTGTACCAGGGACATTTCGTGAGCGGTAGCAGCGATGTGGGCACCGCCAGAGTGAGCGCAGTGCTCCTCGCAAAAGTCCATCTGCCTTCGGTGGTGTTGGACAGGTTACGCGCTCGCTCCCTGGAAGAGGGGAGCAATTTGAATGCTTTCCAGTTCGATCTGACCTTCCCCGTAACTCTGGCGGCGGGGTCAACTACTCGGGTGGTTCCTACGACAGCTCCGGCTGCTGTTCCGACCCTCGAGAACACTCCGACGCTTGCTAGGACTCGCGGGGCCTCCAAGCGGACTCTCGAGGACTCCCCCTCCACTGAGCACGTCGCCGAAGAGTCAGCTCGGCCCAAACCGCGCGGTCGGGGTCGTCCATGGGGTACGGCGAAGGTGGAGTATCAGGAGGCACGAAAGGCGGTATGTTGAAATATTTATGACGACTTCTGCCGACTCCGGAGCTAAATAGTCGCTAGTGTCGTGGGTGCACGGAGCGGAAGCTTCGATGCCATGTCCCAGTCTCGGGGCAGGCTGAGGCCTGTCAGGAGTGCGCCAAGAAGAAAACACGGTGCAGTTTCGCAGGCGGACGGGGCCGACGGGCAGAGAGCAGCGAGGAGGAAGCGGAGGTGGAGGAGGGGAGCACAGTGGTTGTCGGACGGCCGCGGGGCAGTCCAAAGAAACCACGACTGGAGATGGAGAGCATTACTAGTAAGTGCCGCAGGAATTAACTCCGCCGCTTTGACAATGCTGAATTATCCCAACAGTCGACTCGCCTCCGCCTGGCCCTAAAGGTAAGGAGAAGGCCGCGAGCCACGATTCGCGTCCTGCGCCTACTCCGGGACCTTCGTCTGCGCGTCCGGCATACCCGCCTTCAGTCGCTCCTAGTCCGGTCACCTCGCTCCTGAATTTTGGTCCAGAGGCCCTGGCCGTTCCCCTCTCCCGTACGCCGAGCTCCGACCTTTCCCTTGTCTCTCCGTTCCCGCGCAGTGAGATAGCCCCGGACCAATTCGGACGCCTCTACCAGATTATCGCAGAGCTGCGGGAGCAGTCAATTGTGGCTCGTGAAAATGTGGTAAGCCTGCGGGAGGAAAATACACGGTTCCACCGCGAGTTGGATGAGGCGCGGAGGGTCAATGATCAGGCACTGCAGGAAGTGCGGAAGGCCCTCGAGGAGTCGCGCGCGGACCTGCGCAACCTGCAGGAGGAGCATGGGAGGGTGTCAATGGTAGTGAATGACCTGCGGATTCATCAGGAAAAAGTGAAATTGACATGGATATGGGTGTATTTACATTGAGTGACATTGGCCAGGTAGGAAGAGCCCAGATCTGTAGGTGTCTGTAGGCATAATAGGCAAGCTAGATAACAGTGTAGGTAACTATAGGATGACCTTCTTTATAATCCTCCATAAAATGATTCATCAAGTCACAGAATAATCATGTGGGATCACCATTAGCATACTATGTCAAGACAGCGCATCTGGTAAAACATGACAAAATCAATCCAGCTATTGAGGTAGAAGGTCTTGCACTTCTCCAGCACATTCTCATATGACCACTCCTTACTCACTGAAGTACCAAATTTAGGGATTAGATGACAACTCCGGAAGATGTCATCCAGGGGAATAATTTGAGCA